TCTCAAGTACCCAGGTCCAATACCATGAAGGCCTTTATAAGTGACGACTAGCGCCTTGAAGCATATCCGGAGACCGATTGGAAGCCAGTGCAGCTCGCGGAGGATAGGTGTTTGTGAAAGGATCCCCCCCCCTCTTCCAATGTTACCCCGTCACACGTTGATCTGTGTCATGTATGAGAAGAGGAGAGCAGGTCCATAGGAAGAAAGAGCTGGAGGCAGCTCAGCAAGTGAGCCCAGCTGCATGGAAGACTGAAGGGCTGGAATTCCACAAATGGAAGCACGGAGGGGGAAGACCCCGCACCCAGAACATGCTTCCCACAACCACCGTCCCTCTCTTGATCGTTACAGATGCCTTCCGGAGACCGTGGGAGAAGTCCAGTACGACATTACCTAGGTGAGGGACAGCCCCCCACAGCTGCTCCTGACCCCCCTGCAGTGGGAGGGGCTCTTCTGCCCCCCCCCCGAGCCGAGTCCCTTGCAAGCAGCCCGAGAGAGAGCAGGGACCCCGCCCCGACCCCCCCCCTCCCAACCCGCAACTGAGTCTCTCTCTTCCCCCCATCAGGACAGCCGTCAGCCAGAAGACCACTGCACCCCCCGCCACAGGTCGGCCACAGGTCGGCCACTTTAGGTATCAGGCAGGAGGAGGGCTGGGAAGCCAGAGATACACGCAGCAGCGGGGAGGGCAACTGCACCCGGGGACTTCAACTCCCAGAATTCCTCAGATGGCACGGCTGGCTCGGGAATTCTGGGAGTTGACGCCCACCGGCGGTCCACAGGGGCCGACCCCGGCTCTGCAGTGGACACTCTGTAGACGTTGGAGCAGCAGCTTCTCCACTGACCCAGAGCCCCACAAGCGCTGCAGTGGTCGGAGTGCAGTACTGCAAGCTAAATTCTGCTGCCTGCCGGCTGCCTGCAATTTGGCAGTTCGAATCTCCCCAGGCTCAAGGTTGACTCAGCCTTCCATCCTTCTGAGGTCGGTAAAATGAGGACCCAGATGGTTGGGTGCCAGAGAGGCTGGCTCTGTAAACCGCTTAGAGAGGGCCGTAAAAGCACCGAGTGCGATTGCTATCCAGGCTGGTTGGATGGAGGGGCTCCAGCTGAGAAGATTGGGGTGTGGGCTCCCCCTTTGACATGCCCAGTCTCAGGACCCCATCCTGCCCCTGCTGGCCTCAGACTGAGCTAGCCCGGGCCAAGGAAGGGGGCTGGAATTCCAGCCAGCCAGAAAAAAGGAACCAGACCTACCAGCAGAGTGAAAATGGGGTCAGGAAGAGGATCCTGGCCCCTCCAACCCCTCCCCCCCCAATCTCCTTTTCCCCAGAGCCTGCTAGTTTGAGAGCTGCTGGTGCCCACATCTGGCTGCTTTTGCTTCTGGTTCCCCAAAGCTTGGCTCCTCTCCAGCTGTTCCCAAAGCCTCTCCCCCCTCCTACATCTGGGTGGGAGAGCGCCCTCCTCCTACCCCCCAGGACGAGGCCCCTCCCTCTCTGCTTCGCGGCCTTCAGCTTGGAGATGCTTGCTGGAAGGGTGGGCATCTGTGCCCCTCTGCTTTGGAATCTCTCCTCCTCCCCAAAGGGCCCCGGGCCCCGTCTTCCACCAGGGTGAAGGCAGCTCTCCCTCCTCTGCCAGTAAAGAAGACGATTTGTAGCTCAGGGTTGAAATGGGGGGGGGGGTGTTTCCCCTGGGGCTCTTGGTGGCTTTCTTGCAGACGTTTTATGACCCACCTAGGTAACATCATCAGTGCTAGGGACGTTACCGTGTTGGGGTAATGAAACGCCTGCCAGAAAAGACCCAAAGAGGGCCCCAAGGACCCTTTGCCCATCTCTGTGCGAAGAAGCTTTCGTTGCTCCCTGCCAGCCCTGAACCCCCTGCCTGGCCTGGGGGGCGTTGGGACGGCCCTG